CCTCCTTGGGTGAGGTCCTTGCATTGAATAGGTACCGACCTTGACTGTCCTGGAGGTATGTACACCCTTTTCGCAGCAACTGAAAGAGAACAGGGTGGTTTACTCCTCCGACATCTTGCTTTCTTTCCGCGTTCATTTAGCGGAACTTCCTCGCCTACCGTGATCGGAGGTAGCGCCACAGACTCTGAGCACTTTCGCTGTGTGAGGTTATATCCTAGTGGCCGCAGTGCATTGGTACCAAGCACCAATGCCATGACAAAGGCACGGATCAGCTTCTTACCGTCGCTCATCTGCAGCGTCAGTCTGATCGCTCCTTTGAAGGACATTCTGTTGCCCGAAGCATCGAATACCTGCTTTTGCTGGTCCAACGGAATTTCTTCGACGTCGGCATCCAAGTCAAAGCCGGACTCCAATGCTGCCTGGAGTACTTGCAGTGGTATGATGCTGATTTGCGAGCCAGTGTCCAACAACGCTTTGCGTGAAGTGCCTAGAAGATGCACTTCCGTGGTCGTTTGTTCACCGACCAATTCGCACTTGTTGTCGACCTCTACTGCTCCACATATCCATTTCCTCAAGGACGCGGTAAAAATTCTCGCCGGCTTTGCTTGCTGAGCCGTCGCCGGCTCTGCTTGCTGAGCCGATCTTTTAGGCTTTTCAGTAACAGTAGCGTTCTTCTTCGGCATCGTGCAGTCCTTTCTCAGATGTCCTTGCTTGTTACAGTTGAAACACTTTCCGACGGGTCTCCGCTGAGCCGTCGCATCGCGGACATCGAGCTTACTGCTTCCACCCTCCAATGTGTTCACAGTGGTTTGGACTTGCCGAGCATCATGACTGCGATCAACTTTACGTAATCTGCCGTCTGGCTCTTTCGAGCATGACCTTCCATGGCATTACGCATTGCAGCCGCTACTTGCTTACTCCTTTCACATCTTTGTGCCATGGCTTTCACCATGTCATACGCCTGCTCCTTTGGAGCTATCTCCATTGTCGTAAAAAGTTGGAGGTATTCTGGCCAGTCGGTTAGCTGGCTCACCAGTTCACCTGCCCTTGTGCGGGACAGTTCTTCTTCCGATGCATCTGGATAGGCTTCTCTTGACAGCCTTTCCAGTTCCAGGCAGAATTCTGTTACGCCTCCACGTTTCTTGAGGTGTTTCACCAAATACGCCTTCATCTGCATCTGTACTTACCCAAGTATCGCGAGTAGTGCTCATTTCAAGTAGCTAAAATACCCTTCTTTTGGACTTCATTCTTGACTTTCACGAATTTTGGGAAAAAGATGGCTCCAAAGATTAGGCACATTGTGCTAGTGTGCTCGTAATTGAACCGGCGATCGAGATTTCGAACTGAAAAGGCTGTATCGTCCGAAAATGACATCAAGCGAAACCCCTCCATTTTCAAGAAAATGGGCATTTTAATGATCAGCATCATTTGGGAAACACATTTTAATCACTTCTTGTGCGATGGAATACGTTATTTGAATCCTGAATGATTTACCCAACGATAACCCTCTGGTTACAATTATAGCGAGGTTCGCTCGCTAACGAGTGTCCTCAGGTACTTCGATAGGAAGCAGAGTTCAATTTGCGACTTTTTCAGTTTTTTTAGGATACCAGCTTACGAAACTGTGGGGTTCTATATGAGAACGGTTATAGAGAAAAAACGAAAAACGGGGATCTGCGCTCTTTTGTTTTTTTTTCGAACAATTACGGCGGGTATTGTGCTTCCAACGGCGGGCATTGTACTTCCAAGCTATTCATCATATTCTATGGAGCCAATAAGAGCTTTCCAGGATCGTTGGCCATAAGTCAGATACTGTTCCTCAAGCCGATTCAAACCGGAAATCAAGGAAAGAGTGGTCAGTGAACCATGATTTTCAGCTGAACCTTGCTGAAACCCTGTCATGAAAAGTATCAAAATGATCACGGAATCATGCTCTTTCTGAATATGCTGGTATTTACGGCTTTAGGGCACTTGGTTTGAAGTTCATAATTGGACTGGAGGGTTTACGACGCAGCCGTGTCCGCAGGTAACACCTTAGGTTACTGGAGACTCAAACCTCAATTTCCTTGGGAAAAACGTCAAAAAGCTGAAGGAAAGTGGAAGGTCCATGTATCGCTGCATTCGCCTTGTACAGGGCTATCGATGGTCTAATTTCAGATCATTTGGACCACTTCTACAGAAGTTATGGCAAAACGACGGTTTGCGACGGAAAAATCTGTCGCAAACCGTCGATTGACCAGAAATTAGGAGCGGTATTGTAAGTGGAATCAAAATATTCTCCTCACAAACGAGGTAGGTTTTTGGTCACTAATCTCCCGTGTTCAAGCCTAATTCGTGTATGGACTCACACCAGGTACTGTCGTGATCCTTTAAAGGGTGCGTGAGTAAGCGTGGACTGGAGCGCTGCCAGAAAGGCCTTTTCGACCAATAAAGCCATCCTGAGTCCGCAACAATTGGTAGGAAGTGCTGTTTTGGCTGCGTGCTCCAATTTTTTCCTCTTCACTAGCCGTATCGTTTGCAGGGGTAATGACAACATAAACAGATAGGTCGAGGATTGTTTGGAAGGGGCTATTACCAGCAAGTCGTTGTAGAGTCGAGTCGTTGCTACAGTTGCTCAGGAGCTTCAATGGGATGCGTTTGGCGCAGCGCAAAGTTTGGCGCGCTGACTGCCTGTTTTTCACCAACTGTGGTCGCTACCGCTTCCACTGTTATGAATAAAAGCAGAGTCAGCTGCCCAAACTTTCCCCTGAATACGCACATCTTCAGCGAAAACAAACTGTATATCCAATCGCATAAAGGTCGTGCGACTCTTACATATCGTGCGGAGCGTGACGACAATGTGGAAAGAAACCGAATGCGCCAATGGTTTAATCCTTGTGCAAAAGTGAAGAGTTAAGTGCAGCAAGTAGAGAGAAACAAATTTTAGGACCCTTCTAGCCATGAAGGGAGCATACGTCCCTTTGGCACTGGCTCCTGTTGGTAGCTTTGAGTGCCACAACCGGCAGCAGTGACGGCTGTAAAGTGTTGGAGACGCAAGGGGCATGTCACCATGTCAGTTGAGTGTTTTTTCAAGAACTCCTTGTGCACCTGCCCCATTCGTTCGCTTGTTAGCCGTAGTTCAAGCCAGGGCATTAGTTGGGGATTCTGGTCAAGTCGTGCGACCCCCCCCTTTTCTTTAAGGGTTGTTAACAGTTGTACACCCTTATTGCTCCCCCTCATCGCAGCTTGTTCAGCGAAGGGGGGGGCAATATATAAACTATAAAGAGGAAACCAACACCTAACACGAAAATCAGCAAACTCTCTCAGAGTACAGAGAGGAATACGAATTTTTTCGACTCCCCCCGATTTTCGTCTTCCCCCCCCCTCCTCACAAATGAGCAATATACGAGCTCCCCTTTCAGAAAACTTCCTGAAAACGTGAAAAATCAACTATTAGAAAAACTGGCACTATTTACCCTTCACTGCCCCAACCATCCAGAATTGAGCCCATTTCTGACCGACTTTCACTGTGAAAGTTTTGGCTCCAAATATTGTTCGCTCGGGATATTTCGACCTCTCCTGAACACGAAAATGAATTCGCCCCCTGCCCCCCCCTCAAACCGAAACCTACTGCAGCCGCTCCCGCAGGCGCCGGTGATCTGGGTATTACCCCGCATACAGCACATGTACGCAGCGCGGGATTTCCCCAGCCCAGCGGATGTATATTCGTTCGTTATTTCACGAATTCTGTGTTCGAGACTATTTGGCGCCAGCCGACCTGTGGCGGGGCGCCAGAGATTTCAGTGCTACTGATCTGATAATTCATGTCCGAGGTAAGACACCAGGGACATTTCTGCCCAGGCAGGTAAAAAGCTCAAAATGGCCGGTTTTCGGAAGATTGGGCAGTAAAGTGTAAATATGCCGAAAAAACTTTAGCTCAGGCTCAAACAGATCCCTCCACCTACCCTTGGAATCTCCACAACGATGTTCCCTGGTGGGGTATGTTCTGGAGTGCCCTATCCTCCAGAACCTCTCATCATTATAATTGTCATCTAGAACACAGCGAGGATATGATGAATGTGACTAGGCCCCTGTATATTGATTTTATGACCCTTGGTTAACAGATTAGATAGACCAGGCGCAACCCCGTCTGTTGTTTGAGGGACGCCCCCTTTTGTGAACATTCTACCACTAGCCGACTCACCGAGCAGTCAACAATAAACGACTGCCAAAGCAATATACTGTGAACAATCTGGTGCATCGAACCGAGGAACAAACCCGGACCAGGTACTAAATTACTGAACTAAGAACTTATTAATACTTACTTACTTACTTCACAGTTATTACATACTTATTGCTGTATTCATACCGTGTCTGAAAAATTCAAAACCCTTAATTCATAATATGTCCAACATCTCTATAAAAAACGGTAGTTACAAGCCGCGAAGCAGTAGAAAAAAACTAAACCTACGAGTGTTATCGCCAGAAAATCACTCTCCCAGAAGAGGATAATGAGCGATTCGAGAAATGCGCCGCTAATGTTAAACAACTAAATACTTGCCTCACGCAAGTAAAACCAGTAACAGAAAAACTAGAAAGTAAGGCCCAACTTCTGGAGGATTTTTGCAACGCAATCAAATCAAAAACAGAACAAAGGAGGCAATTGCGAATAAGGAACATCGAGAAGAGACCCATTAACTCTAGGATATTAAGGCACCGGGACGCTTTCGTAGTTGCATAGTGGACTTGCTTCAGATATGAAGTTGAACTACAAGGCTCCAAGGAAGCTTCATCCCCCAGTCGCCAAGGAAGAAACACATATGGCTTCCCCCCGTTGATCAAAAGTGGGAAGCAGTTTCGGACGCACCAGCAGATGAAGCCACTACAGCTCAACAAGAGTGCCGAAATATAAGGCTCCAACCCATAGGTTTCCGAAATCTATTGAAACAGGAAATTCGCCGAATTTTGGGCCATTTTCGAAACCCTGGTTCACAGCAACGATGAGATCAGCGAAATAGAAAAAATCGTCCTCTTAAGAGACAGTTTAAAGGGGGCGGCAGAAAAAGTTATAAGGGGTATACAACCCGTACCAAAAAACTACACGTGGATGGTAGAAACCGTCACGAAACGATCCTCAATAAGGCGCAATGAATAATCGAAAGATCTGTCAAAACTTCGACCTAAAAAACGCATCCAAAGAGGCAGAGAGCTGCCAAGAATGCTTTGATGCCATAAAAACCCTCGTCAATCAGATGGTTTCGTCAGGGTACGATATAAGAGGGACATGTGATCCCATGTGGTCCGAAACAATATTGAAAAAATTTCCTGATGATATAGTTAAGGACATCCTAGTTAAGCATCAAGAAACCGATAACATGGAAATCGATGCACTCTTAGGGGCCTTGGACAAGGAAATTAGCGCCAAAGCCTACGTCCAGTCGCGACTTGGGGGCACCTACCAAACTCGGAGCAACTTCAAAACCGAGAGCCCTTCCAACTACCAAATAAAATGTGTGTTCTGCAACAGATCAAACCACACGTCTATAAATTGTAGAACGGTAGCCGACTGCCAAGGGCGTAGGCACATCCTGCAAGAAAAGAGGTGCTGCTGGAAGTGCTTCTTGGGGAACCATTCAAGCAGCGAATGCAGTTAAACCTAACTGCACCTACTGTGGGGGAATACACCACTCATCTGTTGTGTATAATCCGAGAGGCCTGGAAACAACATTCCCAGGGGTAACCCACCTCTCGAATCCAATCGCTGGAGAAGAAATGGGAACACGACAAACAGCGTGCCCAACCGCTCTTCCGCAAGACCCAATCCCACAGTAACAGAATAACCTTCAAAAGCAGGAAACGATATAAGCAAATCGCCCAAACATACACCAACCTGAATTCGAACCAGAAAACTGAACATAAAGCTACTTCTGAGCCGATACTACATTATCAAGGCGAGCAGTTAGTACTAATGACTGCCGAAGGAATGGTTTTCAATCATAACACAAACTCCTTCGAAAATGCATTGTTCTTTTTCGATACAGGCGCACAAAAGACTGTGATCGAAGAGGCATTAGCCAAACGACTTGGTCTGCCCAAAATAACAAAAGAAACCTGCGTAATGTCAGGAATTGGAGGGTATACGGAAAAATTTGAGAGCCACATCGTATCACTTAGAATATGCACCGCCTTCGG